GTGTGTTTGTTTGTTTGAGGAATTTAGGTGGTGAAGGAAGTGATATCTGAGTTAGAGAGGAAAGGGGGATCCATACAAGAGGAGGCAACACACAAGGTATAAACCATGGACTCCCAAACTAAGATTTTCTTGCTCTGTTAATGCTAGATATTTGAGATAGATGTTTAGAAATACTATAAAATGCTTGTTAATGAGTTGTTTATATGTTTTAGATGATCTATGATTGATTTATTGAGCTTTGAAAGTGTATTTTGTTGATCTGTGTTGTTTTGTGATGAAGAATGAGACATTGGTGCACACTGTCTGTGCACAAAATGGTCTCACGGACCTAGCCAACGGACCTAGACAAGGTCTACTGGCTAGAACCATGCAGAGGCAGGCCATGGGAACAGATCTCAAGAGGATCCGTTGCCCAGGGCCGCCGCTTTGCGGAGCCAAGGCTTCACAAGCCCCCGTCACCAAGCTCCGCCAGGCCAAAAGTGGTATTGGCCGGGGCCTCTGTGGCTCAGCTATGTGTCGTTCGGACCGAGACTCGTGGGCCCTTGAGGCTCAGACACTCGGGTTCGTTACGACGTGCTAGTAGAAGTTGATTTCGTTTTATTTGGAGTTAGAAATCATGTTTAACAGTTAAAAGGAATTGAAATTGAATGCTCTGTATATGTTGGTTGTTTGTGAACTTGACTTAGTAGAGGGAATTTGATGTATTTGAGTTTATAAATTGTTGAGAAGCATGTTTAATACTTGATAAGTATTTGTTTAGATGATTTGCTAAGTTGTTGAGATTTTGGCATGAAACAATGCATATATTTCCATGTTCATAGTGAGTGAGTTTTGGGCATATTTCAATGATTAAGTGCATTAAAGGCTCTAAGTTAAGCCTAAGTTCTATTTCAAAAACCTATATCTATTTTGAAAAATCTCTATCTATTTGCATTAAGAAGATTGCATGATAATTTGATTTCCAAAATGTGAGAAAGAGAAGTGGTTTGAGATTTATGTGCATTGCAAAGCTTGCATACTATAGAGTTTATTGCATGAGAAAAGAAGTTGCATTATATATATATATATATATATATATATATATATATATATATATATATATGCTATCTATTGTGAGGAAAACTTGTTTTGGAGGCCTGTTAGGACTCGGTCCTTTCGGAAGAAAAGAGAAAGAAAGAAGTTTGAGAAAGGAAAGAAACGGTCACAGAGGACCGACAGATATTTATGAAGTAACTTGGTCGATATTCTCAAGTTGCTAGGTTGGATACTACCCGCCGGGCTTGGAATCCTAGTTAGGGGGTGTGCACACTAACAAGTACGATACCTGATTCCACAGAGATTATTTAAAAACCAAGAGAGTGGTTCTGTGGGCGAGATGAGTATTAGGCCAGCTAGACGCCGAGCCCGGATAGATTCGTTCACGATTCGTGAAGTTCCTACCTCGCCCGCAAGTTCAGAAAGAAAGCAAGAAAGAAGAAAGAAGAGAAAAGTGAGTCAAGTGACTCAACAGAAACCTCCACAGAAAATGTTCTTTTTATATAAAGAGCGAGGGTATATCTATATTCAAAGCATCATGTCATATCTTGTTGCATGACTTAGCATGAGTTGCATTTAGACCATTTTGAGAAGTGAAGTTTTATTATTATTTAAGAGTTGGCATGATAGCATGATCTTACTTGTTGAAATTTAGTTATCTCTTGTCTATCAGTTTGAGTATGAGTATTGCATAATGAGCTATGTTTAGAGATATTTGTTTATAGTATGAGAATGTGTTTAAGTTGAATTTTGAGAAAAGCAAATTTATATGAAGTATGGGTTGCAAGCATATAGAAGTGTTTTCAAATATTTATTGAGGTTGTTGACTAAGTGTTGTAGTTAATTATATTCATACTTGAGATTGCGTGTGAATGAGAAATGTTTTCCAATCTATATCTATAGTACTTTACAGGGTTGAGTGACTTTATACTTAGCATTAATTTGCTAACGAGTTTATTTTCCTACTTGTTTTATAACCCCTTTTAGGTGGGCCAAGTGTTTGAGAGCGCACGTGGTAGATAGTGCGTAGTTATGAGGTGGTAGTTACTAGACTAGTCTATACCCTTAGTTGAATTGATGTTAGATGTTATTTAAACTGGTTTTTTATGGTGCGTGGACACCGGGGGTTTGTTCCCCAAGTTTATGATGTTTGTAGAGCTTAACTCTAGTTGGTTAACTGTTTTTGTAGCCTGTGCAGTCACCGTGAGTGGTGGCTGTGGCAGTAGCACCCTTAGTGATCTTTTGAATGGTTTTAGTTATTTAAACCTTGCTTTTCATCTTGTTTAAGTTTAATTATTTGGGATTTAGATTTTAGAAAAAAAAGGGTGTTACACAAACGGTTTGGGACTCGGTCTACGGGTCAAAGTCAAAGATGACGGGTCAAACCTGCCCAAACCCGGGCCTATATAAAGGGCCCCAAACATTTGTTTTAGGGGGCCACGCCTTCATTTGCCCCTCTCTTCCACTACTATCTCTCTATGCTTATGAGATCATCTCAACTCTCTCTAAAAGAACCCAAGAACAAACATGAATAAAATATCCTTTGAGTAATATCTCTCTTGTTCATACATATTATATACATTACATTACATCCTATACACGCAGGAATTAGTACTATCACGAGTCTAAGCGTTCGGCTGGACCAATGGCTGACGCGCCACCCGACAAAAAGATTAGACTGGGCCTCGAAGCCGGGGAAATCGAGGGCATTAGCAATGGGAAGTTCTTGGTTCATGACTGGCTAGACACGGTGATCTTTCCAAAGGACGTAGCCCCCCCTACGAGGAGTCCACTGTCGAGAAACTGTTTGAGGGAGTCTCCTTCTACACCTATCGGGTAAGGTTCCACTCTCTCGACTTCTTCTCAGAGTCTTATTGCCTCAATACTTAAAATTTTTTCCTTTGCTTTGTAATTTCACCAGGTCCTTGCCATCCAGTCGGAGCTACGAAAAAGCTGAAGCTTATCATGGCGGATGCCGAGGCCGTCACGTCGATCCGCAATGAACACCTCAAGGAGAAGAATGAATTGACTTTCCGGGTGGGTCAGCTGGAATCGCACTTGGAAGCTGAGCTGAAGAAGTTAGCCGAGGCTCCGCTAGAAGTAGTGGCTGAGTACAAGGCCTCGACTTCCTTCAGGGCGGACGTCACGACTGAAGCTTGCAGTCGGATGAGAGAGTTTGCCATGGAGTGGCTGGCTTCCGAGGAGGGGAAGGCTTATTTAGTGGATGTCGGCGTGGAAGACTACTATAATGGGAGCCTTGGACCTGATGAACGAGATCTATCTAGCCTTGCTGAAGAGGGATCCCACTTTCACGCCTGAGACCTGGGGTCTTCCAGCCCAACTGGAGGAGTACTTCCGCGTCCTTGCTACCCCCGCACCTAACCAGGGGGCCGAAGAAACCGAAAGGGTCACTTCGGAGGGCACGAGTGCGGGGCAGATTCCGATGGACCGTGCCTACATGGATTATACCGCCAATCTGACTGCCTTGTCAGGGATAGACCGGAACTCTATTTCTCCAGTTCCGACCATAGAGAATGAAGAGGAGGATCAGGATGGCAGCCTACAACAGCGTCGAAGTCATCATGGGATTTTCGACTCCACTCGCCTTACTGGCCCATCGGAGGGTGGAGTCCCTTAGTAGGGCGCCTGAATCTCTCTTGCTAGTCTTTTCTATCTCTTTTGCTTTCCTGCTTTTATGTAAATAAAAGTAGGATTCTTTTGAACTCTTAATCGAATACTCTTTTGCTTTCCGACTGATTGTCTATCTTTTGCCTCTTACCTTTATATTTGTTGACTCACTTTACCCTGTAAAAGAAATTTAACAAGAAAAATACAAGTAATATGAAATGAACAGGTGATCATCACTCAGTCGGACTAGAATAGATTCTAAAAAGGATCTAAAGATGTTTAGACCGATTCCCTCAATCTTGGTCAATATCTCAACCTGTCCAAAGGATTTAAACATTCTGAACGAAATTAGACCTCTAAGAAAAGATATCCGACTAGATTATCCTTCCGACTAAGTCTTATCATAATAAGTACCAAGTAAATCCAAGTATCCCACATGGGGAACCGGAACCTTCACTCATTAGGCAATCGTTATACCCGACACCACGGCCCTGCGCCTCCCAAAACGACGTCGTTTTGGGAGGCGCGGTAGGAAGTTGACATGATTATGTATATTTGTTTATACAATTATGTATATTTTTATTATGTACATTTTTTATACAATTATGTACATTTTTTTTTATACAATTATGTACATCCGAATCAGGAAATTTTTGTGTATTATGTTAAGAGTTGATGTGTATTATGTTAAAAGTTTATGTTTATTATGTATAATGTTAGATTATGTGTATTATCTTTTAAAAAAGAGTATGTGTATTTTGTTATATAATTATGTACATTCATGTATACAATTATGTGTATTCTAGTATAACATTATGTACATTTTTGAACATGAAATTTTTTTTTTAAAGAAAAATTAACTGCCAAACACTGGATAACGAAATTTCAAAAAAAAAAAAAAAAGAAATTAAAACAACGTCGTTTTACATCTGGGCGCACAATGCAACGCGCGCCGTTGTGCAGTATATAAATTGCCCTCATTAGGGCTTATTTGATTTTTACTAAATACCTTGGGTTTTCCTTGATGGCGGGTAAAACTCCCATTTTTACTGTCTAACGAGACGTCATGCAAATGATGCAATGATTGATCTAAGAAAAGATGAATTACTATTTATATTCATTCACTTTCTTTTAGTCAATAAAATTAGTTCATAAAATGGAAGTTAATCAAGTTATACTGGTTGATGAAAGTATATATAGCAGTTTCCATAAAGTAAACAAACTTTCTTTCACTCAAATAGTCAAATATCATCAGGACGCCAGATAGGTACTCCGCACTTTTTTTTTTTTTTTTTTTTTTTTTAAATAAAATAATTAAATTTAGGTTTTTTGCTTCGACCCCAAGTTTTTACAGAAAAGACTTGCGATCTGATAAACCACACTTCACCTTTCCAGGAAACTACGATCACTCTTTCTACTCCAGACAAGTCTCGTCTCGTCTCGTCATTTTCCCAGCTGAGATCTGCGAAGTCAAAGTAATGGCGGAAGAGAAGGATGCCACCTCAGTCCCGCTCAGTCAAGCCGTCGCCGACGATCCCGAAGACCCACTCAAATCTTCTCCGCCTTCATCCAATTCTTCTACCCGCAAGGTCTGCTTTTTCGTTTCTAATTCTACTCCCATTTTTAATTTTTTGTTCTCAAAACCTAGATTTCGTCCCATACTCGAAGATTCTTTGAAATCGAATGTTTGGATTCTGTGTTTCTGCGTATAATCGTTTCGTTCTCCATGCCGTGGATAAAAATCACAAGTAAAATTGTTCAGACAAAATAATGGAATGTAAGATAATGCATGAATTCGTTAAGGGTTCTTGAAAAAATATTATTTGCTCCGATCTTAATTCAGTGTCAGACACCGCTTAGAATTCTTGTTAATTGAATTCACATCACTGGGTCATTACTCATTAGAAGTTACTGTACAACATTAAATTGCCATCATATATATCCATTCTTTTTTTTTTTTCTCTGACCATATTATTAATACTCTATCTGGAGTAATGTTTTTGCTGCGATTAGAACTTGTGAGCCTATATGGTTGATGAATAGAAGGAGATTTTTGTTTTGTTTTGTTTTTGGTTCCTTAAAGGATATTCCATTTTATTACAGAAACACCTTACTCTACATCAGTATGGTTAACCTCTTGATGGCTCTCGCCTCTAAGGTCTTGCATGAAACACTGCAACTGAGTGACTACTTTTCTTTATATTTGTTATGTACATTTACTTTCTTCAGGCTTGTTGTTACTTTCTTCAAAGCTGGGTCTCAAAGAAGTTCATGACTGGATGGTGAGTTTCCATCATGACCTATGTCTTTATCAATATGCTTAATATTTTACCAATTTCTCTGACCTCAGGTATTCTTGAATTTTGGAATTTCAGTGTAGTACTCTTTCCTGTTGCGGTTACATTTTTCGTGACGTGGTGGTTCATTCAGTTTGTTGATGGTTTTTTCAGTCCACTATACGAACAACTTGGTTTTGACATATTTGGTAATTCCAAATTGTTAACATTGTTCTGTTTTAAAATTTTTAGCTTGGTATTTGCTTCGTTTTGATGCTTTATATCTAGTCCAATTTTTATTCTAATACATACTGCTCTCTTTACATATTGCACCTTGCTGTTTTACCAGTATGTAAAACTCTTGAGTATAACGTTATTCTTCTATAGCCTATATGACTGAACCACTTGATTAATGCTGTGAAGGATGCGAATAGGCCATTGGGGACGGACTTGTGTAGCCCTATGAAAAGAGTTAAAATGAGTACTCCCAATCGTGCCAACTTCATCTCGAGACATCACTTATTAAACTGATTTTCTGTCATTATGTGAAGGCATTACACTCAGTTTGGATAAAGAAGATTTAATTTATCTAATATTTGCAATTGATTGCTTTTCTGTTTTCAGATAAAGCCTCAACTGGCTGACTTTATATTCCTTGAAATGATATTTACCTGGAATCTGGATTTAACTTTTATATTCCTTTATATAGACATATACATTCTGTGTGTAGCTGATAAAACACCCTTGATTGTTAGAAAGAAAGGAAATCAGGACACAAATGGAAATAGGAATCAATCAAGCTGCATAATTTCAGATTAAAAATAAAGCATAAGTCATGGGATTGTAGCAGGGAATCAGGGGAGGATATTATGCTATTTACTTTCCTATACAATATAAGAGATTATAAATAGGGAGTCTTAGTGTTGAGGCAGGCAGTAGTAATCAGAATAAAATAAGGGCTAAGTATAGCTGGGCAAGAGCCATTTCTTGCTGGAGAGTATTTTACATATCCTTTTTTTTTTTTTTTTTTTTTTTTTTTTTTCAATTCAATTCTCCTTTGCTCCTTTCTCTGCCGCTCTTAACTCTAACAGTAGCACAAAATGAAAAAAGAATTGTCTTCATGCCCTGGATCTTCACATGTATAGACATATGTGTGTGTGCACATGCATTTGTGTGGCTAAGTATGCGTATTCTTTCAGTACTAGATGTAGTTGTCTGTGTTAGTGTGCTGTGTGCTCATCAGTCTCTTGTGATGCAGGACTGGGATTCGTGACGTCTCTACTTTTTGTATTCTTAGTTGGTGTATTTGTTTCATCATGGCTGGGTGCTACTGTTTTCTGGGTTGGGGAATGGCTTATAAAGCGAATGCCATTTGTTAAGCACATATATTCAGCTTCCAAGCAAATCAGTTCTGCAATATCTCCAGGTAAGCTACAGATTTCTTAGTGCTAAATGATTGCATGAATTTGTGTTGTGGGAAGTCACACTGCCACAGTCTCTCTATTAGGTATAATGACAAAAGTAAGTGATTGCACGAGGGAATCTAATCCCATGTGTAAGAAACCTTTCTGATCTGACATCTCCATCCAACAGGGAAGAAGATGAACAAGCAAAATATTTGAATTGATATCATCTTATAAAATGGTTGTTGTTTCCTAGAAGCATGTGCCATGAGGAATACTTTATTACTGAACTTCTTTTCAAGGGAAAAATGAAGTTATATTTTATGTGACAAAGTTTTATATTTAAGATTATGTAGACATCTTCATATGTAGTATGCATGTACCTTTATTATGTACACAATTATAGCTGTAAATGAGGCAATCTAAAGGGTTATCCTTCATCAAGAGCAAATTTCGTAACATATATAATTATATAACACTTATAAATACCTGCATCTCTTAATGTGTATATTTTATTAAAATTGTCAATATCAGCTTAAGTTTTCAGATTTAAATATAAATATTCCTTGAAACTGACTTGTTATGTTTATTCTAACAGATCAAAATACAACAGCTTTTAAAGAAGTGGCAATCATTCGTCATCCACGTGTGGGTGAATATGCATTTGGTTTCATAACATCTTCAGTCATCCTTCAGGTACTTGTTTCTTAAAATATCATTTGCCCTTCAAAATATTGGGTTTTAGAAGTAAGAAATCCTGTTGATTGTTACAAGCAAATATTGAGTTTGAGAAGTAAGGCTCCTCACCGTGAACCATCACCTGTGTTGGACAATGGTTTGTTCCCTCATAACTTTAAAAGAAAGTACATAAATAAAGGAATTCAAGTTACATAACTCTATACTACTGCTTATGACTACATTTCTGTTCAGTGTTAACCTGTACATAGAGAGGGGAATGAAAACCTTCGTTATACTTGTGCAGAGCCTGGGGAGAGTTGTAAAAGTACACTTTTAAGTGATGGACATATATATATAGTGTTCTTATTAGGATAGCATGTACCCCCTTTCCACTGAATCGCAAATACTTATCCATGAAAAAGATATCACACACCCATTTACCATCTAGATTTTAATACCCCCACTATTAATAACTATGTATTTACTTGATTTATCTGAGGAAGTATTTACCTAGCCAGTCTGAGTGAAAGGGGGAAGATGAAGCATGAAAGATTGACAACTGTATACATCTGAGATAGAGCCCTCGCATGGAAAATATCAATTTAATATATTAATTTCTGTACTTGCTTATTTTGGGTGCAGAAAGACGATGGTGATGAAGAATTGTGCAGTGTGTTTGTCCCAACTAACCATCTGTACATTGGTGATATACTCCTAGTTAGCTCCAAGGACGTCATAAGGCCAAATTTGTCCATCCGTGAAGGCATAGGTATGTTTTTTGGGTGTTAACATCTTCAAAACCACCTAAGTATCATATGTGTATGGAAAGATGGTTGTGTGCATCATCCATAACTGTCACAGTGTTGCATGCCCTCTATATTTTCACCTTTCTTTTATTATTTCCTCATTGGAAAAAAATTTGTGGACTGAGTATATATCTCTTTTTGAGGTGGAATGTCTTCTTTGTGGTTCGCCCCTTGCCATCTGAACTAAAGAGGAATTAAAACAATTAGAAAAATGTTATTTTCTTCCCTTCATGAATTTACCTCCAAACCGTTTATTATTATATATCTAATGCCCACAATGATAGAGCCATGTAAGATGTTTTACCTGTCATTTAAGCCTTTTAGATTTTTAATATTGATTGGGTCTTTCATTCTTCTAACGTTTGGGTGAATGAACTTTGCAGAAATCATTGTTTCTGGTGGTATGACAATGCCGCAAGTGATTTCTCCAGTGGAAAGGATTGCTCGACCTAATGAAAGAATCCCACTTAACAGAATAATGTGATTGTTGAGTGTGTGTTTGGGACGATATTATGAGGTGTATACTTGTTGACTATGTAAGAGATGCAAGTTTGAGAAAGAAAGGAGAGATTTTCATATTGTAATTAGTAATGATGTTTGGCAGCTTCCTAGGATTATTATTTGTCATCCATTCCTGTCAATGTTTACACTTTACACTATTCAAGTCTCAATTTATTCTCTGGCAAACTATTATGAAACACAATAACACAAATGAAAATAATGGTTTGATTTAGAGTCCACATTGAAGGGATCGTCAATAATTGAGGGATTGTAAGTTTTTAAGATTTTAAAATTCAAGTTTATTACTCTTAAAAAGAAAAATGCATGGACCATTGGATAGCTTATTCCCATTATGTTTGAGTAATCTCTAGAAAATGAAAGCCAAATAGGTGAAACAGGTAGCGTTTAGAAATTAAGCATATAAAAATTGAAACACCTGTTGTCCCACATCGACAAGAGAGACTCGCGTTCAGCAGCTTCGATGTCTATATAAAGATTGTGGCTATTCAAGCAAACTCATGCAGCCACGTGATGAGTACATAGTGAACTATTCTTTCGCCTTTTACTAAAGAATACCGTGTGCGCGTCGCATTGAGTGGCATACGCCAATTTTTGGAGAGGGCCTCTTCCAGAGGACCTCAACCAATTTTACTTCCAAGTTTTGTCTAAAGTATATGTGGAACTAACAAACAGAGGAGTTACGAACTGTTCTTTTGAAAGGAAAAATGGTAACGAATTAGGACACTTGGGTCAGCAATTCATTTAAATATATTTTTTTTAACATGAAAGTGCTAACAAATTAGACCATAAGTCAACAATTCATTTTAATGCTAAAAATTTTCACTTCTCGGTAAAAATTAAGTGCAAGTTTTTTTTTTTTTTTTTTTAATGTTTATTTAATTAATATTTCAATCTTTTATTTAAAATTAAAATTCAAATAATTAGTTATGTTTAAAAGGAAAAAAGAAACAATTAGTTTGATTGATGTTCAGAGTGTAAATATCATGGCCAAGTCTAGTGTAAAGTTTTATTAAGTTCTATTATTGTGAGCTGTCAATTCAATTATTGCAATCAGTAATACGTTGTTATTGTTATTGTAAAAATTCAATTGTCAGTTCAATTATTGCAATCAGCGATATGTTGCTATTGTTATCGTAAAAACTTAATTGTAACCATTGTCTATTCATATTACAACTTCAAATTACTCATTAGTAGTGTGTCTAAGGGTACAAACACATATTCTAAATATGATTGGTAAAAATTGAGACACGATCTTAAAATTATGAGTGTAGAAATTTGTTGAAGCTTTTTACCATTCTATAAATAAACCCCGTAGCAACCATCTTTGCTTGATGATGATAATTCATTGATGAAAATCATAGTTAAATCATCCCAACACATATTCTGGGATGCTCAATAATAGCAAAAGACCCGTTAATAAAAAGAAGACATTTTAACTCGTTGGTACAAAATTCTCCACTATATGAAATATTGAAAGCCAATAGAGTATACTGGGACAATTTTTTTGAATGTACCAATAGATATTCTTCAAAACTTCATCTTTTATTTTTTTTATTTTTTTTATTTATGATTTACCTCAATAAGTTTTTACTTTAATAATTTACAAATACATTTTACAAATAAAAAATGTAAAAAGTCTCACACAACATCGTATAGGATAACTGACACGGTCCTATATCTGAGCCATTCATCCTATCCTAATTATAAAGAGTAACAAGACAGTAAATTGTTAAGAAGAAAAATGGCAGAAGCATTGGATAACTTATTCCCATTATGTTTGGAGTAAACCTGAGATGGTGGAATTGCCAAACATACAAGTGGAAATTAAATAGAGAGTATATGAATATTTAAACTGAATCACCGATTGTCCCACATTGACATCACAGACTCGCATCCAGCGCCTTGGACTTGTATATTATGATTGTGGTATCACAAAGAAAATTCACGCAGCCATGCAATGAGCACATAGCGAACTATTCTTTCGTTTTTTACTAAAGAATATCGTGTGCGCGTTGCAATGAACGGCATACGCCACTTTTTGGAGAGGGCTTTTTTTAGAGGACAAAAACCAATTCTATTTACAAGTTTTGGTGGGATGGACAATTGTAGTTTGGAGATTATGTTTAAAGTGAATAGGTTTTTTGTGTGTATCAATATGTAGCTATGTTTACTTAAGGCAAATTATGCCCCACTTTGCAAGGTGGGCACAGTTTCATATCTATAATTTCTATACTGTAGATTAATAAAATTTATACTTTAGATTCCAATTGTTGAACTCTGTTTTCATAAATCAGAGAATTATATGTTCATAATTTGATAACTATACAGTTTAGAAATTATGAATTTACAGTACATAAATTATGAATCTATAGTATAGATATTTTGAATCTACTGTATTTAAATTATGAATCTACGGTTTAGAAATTATGAATCTAAAGTATAAATTTTATGAATCTACAGTATAGAAATTATGAATCTACAGTATAGAAATTATGGATATGGAACCGCACCTTGCAAGGTGGGCACGTGCTTACAGCATAACACTCCTCTACTTAGTTATTGAGTCATCGTGATTTACATCTTTTCAAATACTCTTTCGGGTTGGGGTATTAGGGGGGGGGGGGGGGGCTTGGGATTGTTGAGGTTACCGGAGTGCAATAGGAGGCGGGCTTATCAGGTATGCTCTTTCGGGCTGGGGGATGGGAGGCCCTTGGGATTGTTGAGGTTACCAGAATGTAATAGGAGGCGGGCTTACCAGTTAGTAGTGTAATAGGGTACCAGGTAGGAGTGTAATAGGGTTGGCAAATTTGACATCTCTTCACGTATTCTAGGCAGTCCAAATTTGACATATCTTCACGTATTCTAAGCAGTCCATCGGGGCTAATAATACCCCTGTAGGATCACCGTGGTGGGCGGCGCAGGTACACCTTGGTGAGACACCTCAACAACGGTTGCTGCACACAACAGTAAAAACATTAAACAACGGTTGCTGCACACAATAGTAAAAACATTAAACAGAGTTGTACCTCAACAACGGTTGCTGCACACAACAGTAAAAACATTAAACAGAGTTGTTTACAGAAGGGACGGAAAAGGAAATATCGTTCACGATGGGACTCGAACCCACAATCTCCCGCTCCGGAGGCGAGCGCCTTATCCATTAAGCCACGCGAACATCTTCTTTGTCGTGTCTTTAATTGTAGGATATAACACGGTTTTAATTTACATCCTTTCTAATGCTTTTAAAGGCTGGAGTGTGGGGGGCCCTTAGAGTTGAGAATTTAACCTTTTGGGAGAAGAAGTTTTAGTGAGATGGTGGTAATTCATGGATGAAACTCAAAGTTAAATCATCCCAACACATTCAATGGTCAATGGCTGCAAAAAATTCGTAAATATAAAAAAGTTTACACACCATTGTATAAGATAAGTCACACGACATTGCAACAACATGAAAAATATTACTAGGTCTTATAGTTGGGACATGCCATCCTAATTACAAAGCCCACAAAGTCAATTGTTATTATTCTTGATAATATTTAAGTTCTACTAATATATTTTTGTTAATTTTTATTCCTTCATCAAGTTATTTAACAATTTTTTTTTTTTTCAAATTCAAAATTATTCCAATTACTTAAAGCCATGGATATTTTAAATTTTTAAATGTTTTTTGTTTGTTGTGTTATAAATATATTATTATTGAATGGTCATTATTATTGAGACTTTTCATTTGCCCTATCTTCAATTTAACTCCCTCATTATGCTAGGAAATGAAGGATTATATATATATATATATATATATATATATATATATATATATATATATATATATGGATTTTGAATCCAGTGCACCCCTATTTAGGTGAGTTCGTGAGCGTCAATCCTGAGCATTCGTTTTGTTATTTTAATGGTTTAGATTTATCAATTGTTTTAAGTAATACGCGCTGTTTTTTAACCTGCTGAGGGGTGTTTGGGTAATTTCGTATTGCCATTAATTTGTTATCATTTACACATCGTGAATTTTCTTTCTTTCATTATTTCCTATGTATCGAGATTCCCAAATTCTTCCGATTTCCTCTCGTTCTCTTCGCCTCCTCCCATCTCTCTATCTCTCTGAACAACCAATCTTCGAACCAATCTCTAAAGCCATTTCCTCGATCGGATTCTCCATAGCTTGGTCTTCCATCCGATGGTCAAAGCATCGGAAGAGGGAGGCTACCGGTGGTGTTCAAGGTATTCCTAAGTCTTTTTTTTTATTCGTATTTTTGTTTCTATCATTTTGTTCGAAGATTAGTTCAACGGTGGTCTTGAATGAACGGCCGCAGCCCAGGTCGGGAAAGGGTGTCACCAATACTTGTGAGGTCTGTGAGCGCAGCCTCCTTGATTCCTACCGCTTCTGCTCTCTAGGCTGCAATGTATTCTTATTTACTGCATTTTTTCTAAAGATTTTCTTGCTTTTAATCCGGGTTTAATGTCGTTTCTCTGTTTGATTATCTGCTTTTACTGCTTCAATGCTTGATTGCTTGAGAAAAATCCAATCACATTAAGGAAAAGATTTGAGAATTTGGGCGTAAAGATCTTGATTTCTGGCGATTTTGTTTACAAATTTCTGAGAATTTTGGGTTTTTGGGCATTCATTACATGTGAGATTTGAGATTTGAGAATTTTGTTTACAAATTTCTGAGAGGCTTTAGTTTGTGCATCATGGGTTATTTGAATATAAATGTGCATTTCTTATTGAGTTTTTTCATGTTCAAAGTGCAGCAGCTTACAGCTAATAATCCTTGAAATCTAATAAAACTGCTGCATTACTTTGTTTCACGGAAGTGCAAAAATCCATACAAACAAATTTAAATATAGCCATATAGGTGTAGAACTGATATGATACAGAAGAAATGAGGTCATCACAAGTAAACTATAATGGCAACACTTCCTTTCCTGATAGACGATTCAACAATAACAATGGGTAGGACTACCGAATGCAATCAAGGACTGACGGCTTTGGGTTTAGATAGCTACTTTTGGTTCAAAAGACAACATAGCATAACAACATTAGATTGAGACGTTGTTAACAGGCCGGGCAGGATTTGTACTGGTTAAACATCAACCCCATGTGTGTCGTCTTCTTGCTTAGCTCAAGTACACGATAATGTCTCCATTCATGCCTG